TTTTTTTTTTTTTTTTTCAATAAACTACAATTTATTAGTTAGTTATACTTTATAAATACAAATAAAAAAAAAATATTATATATAATTTAATTATAAATGTCATGTTATAGGAAGATATTAAGCATCCTGTGATATATATAAAAATTAATCAATTTATCATGGTAGAATATGAAATATTAATCATATTTCATTTTAATTATGCTCTTGCAATTTGCCACAAAAAGGGAAAACTACTTATTAAATACATATAAAAATAATGAAATGTAATATTATAACTATAAATAATATATTTTTTAATGTAATAATATTAAGTAATGTTGAAAGAATTTAAATTAATAACTTTAATAAATATAAATGTAATTAATAAATTTAACATATCAAATAAAATTACATAGTATATAATAATAACATCACTAAAATTTATATAAATTATGATTGCATTTTCAAATAAATAAATATACACAATTAAATTTTTTACTTTATACAACTGTGGCAAATCATTAAAAATTCAACCAAATTATCAAACTATTATTTAAGATAAAGACAAATTATTACTTATATTATATAAGTTCTTTTTTAATAAATATTAAAACTTTGTACATTTAGAAAACATTAAATGACATTTAAATTGTCTTTTGAAACATTTCATTGACAATTATTCTAGCAAGATATAGAAAAAGAATTAATTCAATTTAATTTAAATTATTCAGTAAAAATAAACTTTTTAATTATAAATATTTTACCTGGTTTTTGTTCTCCACAAAGTGAAATAATCATTTTTTGAACAAGATTACCCACAGTTTCAGCTTCCATCATATTTATGTATATTTTTCTTAATAATATTAAATATTATTTCACTCAAACTTTGTTTGTACACATTTAACGTTATTGCATTCAAACTGTCACTAGGTAATTAATGTTTGATAGTACTACTTCATGCAGTTAACTTAGGTATACGTATTATTTTCGTCATAGAAGTAAGATTATATAGAGCGAACATAAATTCCTTAAAATGATAATTATCTAGGTAATTAAAAATGAAAATTAAAACAAATATATATATATATATATATATATCCGTTACAATGATTTCTCATGTGCCATAATACCTTATAAATATTAGTTAAAATTAAAATTAAAAATGCAGATTTCATTTTCTGAAAAGCATTCAATTCAATACTGATTGTAAATACTGATATCGGAAATAGTAATTTATAAGCAATAATTTTATGTAAATTAAATGCTTAACCTTCCGACTAGCGAACCTCATAGTCCTGTCCCGGGATCGCTTTTAACTCACACGGATATTCCACTAATATGTAATATTCTCCTGTTTTTTCACTATATAGTTATATATTTGGTCGAGCGTTAATACTGTTTACAAATATACTATTGTAGAAAATGTGAAGCATAGGTCGAAATAACCATTATTGTTAACCATTTGACTAGTGAAGCTCACAGTCCTGCGGAAGGGTCACTTCTGGCTCACACGAATATTTCATTAATCATATTTACAACCTTAGAAAATTTCGTTCAAATCCGATCTTCCTTGTAGAAGTATGAAATTAGTAATTTACAAATTCTTATTACAATCATAGGAAATCGGTTGGATGGAAAGGAAATGGTAGAAAAAAAAAAATGAGAAGGAAAAATTAATATTTTTCATAATCTCATTATACATTTATATTTATACATATCAGATAAAAACGATTTATAGACCAAATATAAACATAGAATACTAATTTATAGTCCATGGATAAGGAAAATATTGGGATTTAATTAGATCAATAATTATAAAAATAGTTAAATAAAGAATAAGCGCAGTAAAAAACATTAGGAATTAAAATATGCTATAATCAGTTTCGATATTCTGTCAGCCGCATTGCAAGTGACATAGATATGGTAAAATGGCATTAGTAACTAAAATATGTTTGAAAATTTTAATCTTACAAAAAGCAATGTTATATATATATTTAATAAAGCCATAAGTGGTATTATAGAATGATTCATATATATTATATATTATAAATATTAGTAAATTACTATACAATATCACAATAAATATAATAAAATTCTTTGATCTATAAATTCCGTTGTACTGTTAATGTTGTAATTAATAATTTATTGATAACTACTAATTAATAAAACTTTTTTTATCGTGCATATGTTCTTCCTTCCAAAAAGTAATAAGAATACTTTAATATGCATACATATATATATTATGAAAATTTATGTACATGTAATGAAAATTCAAACGTAGTTACGACTTACAACAAAATTATATAAATTGTCAAATATATTATTAATAACAAATTGCCCCAAACATGAACTTAGCAGTAAAAACAAAAAATTAATATATTATGAGTTATTATTATAGAAAAATATTTATTTGTGGATTCAACAACAGTCGTAACTTCTTGCCAATTTTTGACCGAACGCTGACAACATAAAGTGATTTTAACTCGAGCTTATTTGTCGTTTTAAGATCGAATCGAAAAGATTAACATTTTCACGGGGACTGAAGAGAAGTACGCGAGGGGAGGATAGTAGTTATCAGCTAGTATTTACCATAGTCGCATACCTACACTCCACCCTTCGTATAATTATTTATTTGTAGTATAATTATTTAATAATTTATCGTTACTTATGAAATGGAATTCAATATTGAATAATATATAATTACTCAAATTGTAATTATAAATTTGTAATCAATATATTAAGTAAATTTATTTGTTATGTATTTATACCTTTAACCCTTTGACTACGGCAGACTTTGAAACGCACCGGTCGTATCACACGGGTAGGAATTCATTTACAATGTCCGCTGAGAACAGAAAAATTTTGAGTAAAGATACGTCCTCTGTGTTAGAAAAGCAAACTATGTTGAGCGCTTATATGCGCTTTCCGTGTCACAAAAGTAAAATTTCTGTATGTATTTCTGCCCACAGTAGCCAAGGGGTTAAAATAAATTTTCTCTTATTCAAATAAATCAGTACTATAAAGAATAGGAAGAACAATTAAAATGATAACATTAGATAGCATTAAGTTTTTTCTAATATATTTATCTATAATAATTATATAAAAATATGTATTAGATATGAATGACAATATTTATTTAAGCTAATTATAGGGTACATGAAAAATTCTTATATACTTTATGTACAGTATATCACATAGTATCTATACAATGTCTTTGGTAGTTATGATATATTCAATTCCATGGGAATATTTGTTCAATTAATAAAACAAAGATAATGTAACTATCTTTTATTTTTTAATTTTTGTCTTAAGCCACTAAATAGTATATCTACAATCTACATGTTATTGAGCAAAAATATAACAATGAAATAATTCTTTACTAGATTACTATTCAAAATTTTAAATTAAAAATGTACAAAAACATTAAAACAGTATTATATTCAGAATTAGAATGAATTAATTAATATTAAATTCAATTAAGATGAATACATACATTACAAAAAAATATTATTATAATTAACAAAAATAAATAACCTCTATCTTTTAAAGACAATAATATACATATGAAAGTTGTATTGATTCTTTTCAAATTAATAAGCAACTTGTTCTAACATTAACTTATCTATAGAATTTTACTTAAATGAGTTAGGTAAAAAAAATATATGTGTAACAAATGAAGAACACACTTGAAAAAAGATTTTACTAATAAAAATTGGATCTATAAAATACCAATTATCATTAAAGTAATAATTTATGCAAAGAATAAGAAGCATTTTATTTTATAAGAATAAGTAACCAAACAAATATATTATATTATTTTACATTTTATAATGTAATAAATTAATTATATTTATTTTGACTCAATGAATAATTTTTGTGTCTAATGTTTTTACTCTTTTTATTTTAAGGTACTCTAAATATAAATTACTACTATAAGTGGTAGCATGTGTATGTATATAGATCTAGTTAGTAGAACAATTATCTAAATCGATATTAATAAGCAGTTTATATTTAAATATCAATTTAGTTCCATAAAATATCACAATATATTACAAAATATATACTTAAATCGATATCAAGAATGTAATATCTGTATACCGAATCATTCAAATAATTTATAATTCAGCTTAGCAATAAAATTGAACATTTATATAAAGAAATTAGGAGTAATATTTTAGTATACTTGTGATTGTAATATTGCTTTTTGTAATAACATGCAAAAGGTCTCATTAACTTCTTGACACAGAATATCTGCAGATTTATCTCCTAATGCTGCTTGTGCAAAATTGACTCTACCAAGTTGTAATAGTAAACCTGTAGTATCTTCGGCTAATGGTGGAAAAGCTAAACATATACGTGTTAATGCTGGTAATACAGGCATGAATAAAATTACTCTGTCCTTAGCAGATAGTACACCTAAAAGTGTTATCAAAGTATTAATGGCTAAACGAGAAACACTTAAAGCCTTTGGTAAAGCATACTGAATTGCAAGATGTGAAACTAAATCTACAGCAAATATTTGTTTCTCTGGTTCTGGTTGTGATAATAATTCAGGAATCCAATCAAGACAAATATGCATAGATGGAATACCAGTAACTGTAATGGGTAACAATTCTCTTGGATAGCCCTATAAATAAAAATTATTACAAATTATTTATATGGATTATACTATTATACAGGATGAACTACTTTTAATCAATTTTTCTTAACTAGTTTTAAATTATAACCTAAGACAGAGGTCAGCAATCTTAAACTCGCGAGCATTTACGTATTCCCGAAGTTTTTTTTAATTACTTACTACTATGTTAAACATTAAATATACTTTAAGCTTACTTCTCTTTTGACAAGATTAAAATATGGTGTTCTTTATTATAAGTCAGTCATTCGAAGTGCTCTTTTTAATGGAAAAATTGCCAACCTCTAGTCTAAGGGATCTGTTAATTTTAAAGATACGAGAAAACTTTATTTATATTTATATAACATTGTAATTATTGGATTACTAAAGTTTGTACATGTCTTATACTTGCAAATTGATTGTAGCATATACAGGGTAATTTACCCAGCATAATCACTTATATCTTCTGAACTTTTGTTGAAAATCCTTAAATATAGCTTTTAGTTTAATATAGAACAACACCAGAAAATATGAAATGAGGAATTATTATAGCAATTCATAAATAATAGATGTGTAAGAACTTCAGCAATTTGACAATTATAATATTACACTGATGTAGATATGATGTAATTCTTCTTGAGAGGAATGTTAGATTATAGACCATTAAAATTGTTTAAATCGTTATTTTGTTAAGAATAAAGGAGTCTGACAAGCCACTTAAAAAGACAAAGCTACTAAATTTAATTAAAAACTAATTAAAAATACATTCAAACAAATTGTTATTAGTATGTTATAATTTTCTTTTGTATTGTATGATTTTTATAAATAAAGCTTTTACATATTTCTAAATATAACAGAGATATTTAAGTTATTAGTTCACTATGTATACAAATTTTAAATTCTGATAATACATCAATAATCAGTAACCAGTATAAATTTGTTAATTAAGAAAAAATAAAAACAAATTATCTAAGTTGCACATACTTGAAAATGGACCAATTTAGCCAATGATGGATCTGCTATGAATACTTGATGTAAATATGAACAAATTATACTTTGTATTTCTCTTAGTGACCACATTTGTCCAGGTGTTTCTCTATCTTCTTCTGTCTCTAAACATGCTTCTAATAATATTTGAACAGCTGCACTTTCTTGACCTGCTACTAATGCTGTTCTTAAATCTTCTCTTTCAGCTTCACTTGATAACTGACCAATCTTTTCT